GGTCTCGGTGACCAGCAGTCAGTCCAAACCTGTAACTGTACAGAAGATCCATGCATACAAACTGGTCTAAAAATTGCAGAACCCGGTTTAAGATAAACATAGATCTATGTAGTATCAAACTGATTTGATTTAGGTTAGACCAGTGCATGGAACTTCTGTACACTTTCCCTGTGCAGCCCCAGGGCTTGGAAAACCCAGCCACTGGCCCCAGCCCTGGGGCTGCTCTTTTCACCCCCCCAATCCTTACCCCCACTCTTGGCTATTTTTAATGCAGCTTTTTCCCTGCAGTATGTTAATCATATGCCTTTATGTTTAGGCCAGGGCTGGGCAAAATGCAGCCCGCAGGCTGAATCCGACCAGCCAAGTCATTGTATCCGGTCCACGGGGCAGCTAAAAAATTTAGAAAATTAATATTGATCTGCTCCTGGCTGCCTGCCAAAGATGGCAGGAGCCAGCAACCCAGCAGCAAAGCCTGCCCAGCTCCACCCCACCCCAGCCCTCTCCCACTCCCACCTGCCCTGAACCAGAAAGCAAAGGCTTCTGGCTTGGGACCATGGGCCTGTTCCCTGCCTCAATCCGCTGGAGAGGGAAATGCAGGTAAGAATGCTGGGGCAGGGGTGGGGGGGAAGGAGGCAAGGAAGGACTGTGGTCCCATCCCTTGGGGCCTGGCCGGGCCGTCTCCTGCTGAGTTCCGTGGTTGCGGCCACGCATCCAGGAACCACAGGGTGCCAGAGCACTGCAGTGGCGGGCAGGAAAGTGCACAAAACAGCGCTGGCGGGGTCTCAGAGCGGGTCGCCAGGAGCACAGGGTCTGGCACCAGCTGTGCTGGAGGGGGGACAGGGGTCCTGCGCTCCTGCTGCCTTGCCCTGGGCCCCTGCTGGCACTGGCCTTGGACACCAGCGTGGGCCCTGTGCTCCTGCTCACTGCCATCTCACCCCCACCTGCTGCTGCTTTCACCTCTTCCCTGCCTGCTATCACTGTGCTCCAGCACTGTGTGGCTGCTGGCTTCATTTCTGGACTGCAGGAGCATGGGGTCTACACCAGTACCCTGGGGCCAGGAACGGGAGGAGAGGGGTTGTGCATGTGCACATTCATGCCATGAGGCTGGGGGCGGTGGGGGAGAGACAGAGAGAGCAATGAAGGAGGGACTGTGTGTGTGTGTGTGTGTGTGTGTGTGTGTTCATAGGGTGAGTTCCACATGCACCCACGCACCCCCTCTCTCTGCCAAACGCACAGACCCCCATACACCCTAGCCACCCTCCCCCCACACACAGTCCTGCCACAAACCCCATACCTACCCACACCTATTCACCCCACCACATCCTTCCCCACAGCCTGCCACAATGCTATACCCACCCCCCACAATATACAGTAAGACTTCATTTTAAGCTGTTGTGCAATCACTTCTATATACACTACACAAACGCATGTAAATCGGGACAAAAATATTTTTTGAAATCAAATTAATGAATGTTGTAGATGTTTGATTTTTAGTATATAATTTGGTATTTTTTTGGTTTCTGAGATGGCAAAACTCCTTGTTTAAAAGGAGTACTTGTGGGGGCAAGGGCAGGGACTTTTGGTGGCAAAGGTCAGGAGTTAGGGGGCAGGACTTTTGGTCACAAGATGGTGACCAGAGGGCGGGGCACCTGTCAAGAGGTGGGGCTACGCGTGCGGTCCTCAACAGTTTGCCAGAACTCGGTAAGCAGCCCTCTGCCTGAAATAATTGCCTACCCGTGCTTTAGGCTGTTTAAGTCCTCTTAAGTGGTAACTATCTGGTCTGATAACCTGTAATAGTTTTGAATACAGGATGGAGAGTTGGAAGGCTTGAACTGTAATGTTGAGCTCACTTGTCCCCCTAATCTGTGTCTCTTTCCGGGCCTAGTGGGAAAAGGCTTTAATAAAAAGGCATTTACCATGTATACCTAGTGTAGGTGGGATTTAGGACCTTTAGCAATACTTTTACAAAGTGTTCTGAAATGTTAAGCAGCAAAGAATAACTCCTGTATTGGGTTGGCTATGCACTGTTAAATGATGCAGTTAAATGAGGATAACTTTCTAGCCACATGTGCACATTTCTTTTTTTTTTTCTTTTTACCTATCTGAAAAATAATTAATGGATCCTGGCAGCCTAGATTATGTAAGATTTTGACCTGCTTTCAGCATAATGCTGACCATGAAGAGCTGCATAACTCATTATGTTTAAAAAAATGACCATGTCTGCGGATGCCCCCCTTTTAGTTCATATCTGTGCTTTTGCTTTGCAGAAGTCCCATGAACGTGGGGTTGAGAATAGTTTCTGGAAAGGTAACCTAAGAAAACTTCCCACCTAGGCAGGGAAAGCCCATTTCCTTTTGCAATCTTTTCAAATCTTGCACTAATGAGCATTGAAGAGACAGGGAGGCAGAACAAAGAGGAATTGAATTGAAGAGTGTCAAGAGGCCATCTAGTTTGCTACTTGCATATATAGAAGTTGGTGCAGAAAGGAGGCTCTTATTAGAAGTGAGCTTTCCAAAGCTCACTTTTCACTTTTCAGTATTTGTTACTACCCTGCATCACTTAACCAGTTCTGAGGGGCATATAAGAGGAACTAATTTAATTTACCATTACCACAGACAGGCCTTGAAGATCTATTGTCCATTGTTTCTCTGGAAGATCACTCTGTGTAGCAGGTAAAATAGTATCTCTTGAAGAAAATTTAGACTTTTCAGATGCATTCCACCATGTTGAAAGCTGGGTGCTTAGAGGGGTTGAGATGCTAGAAGCGGCAGCCAAAACATTGAGGATTAAAGCATACTGCTGCTTGCCTCAAATCCCAAAGCTATTAAGAGATGGAAGAAGCATGAACCATTGTGCTTCATGAAAATGGCATCTCTCCAAACGGCTGGGGCGAAAAGATGGGATGCATTGTGTTCCTATGAGATTAACAAACCTATTTCCTTTTAAATTGAGGGAAAAGGATCGAATTGTAAAACAGGACCCTGTAGGGAATAACTGGCTAACAGCCCCTTCTTTAAATTGAGGGTATTCTAGCTCAAGCATTTGATGGCAACTGCAGTACTGTTATAGGGGAGGAAAGTAGTCCCTTCAGATAAATAAGTCTTAGACTAATGGTTCTCAGTATTTTTAGATTAGAGGCACCCCTCCAGAACTTTATAAACTGAGCAGTACCTCATTAAAAAAATAACTCTGTTTATTGTTATATAAAAAATAAATCACTGTTTTAGACCATTAAGGGCAAGTAGGCCAGTTACTGTTCAGTTGTTAACATCAGTGTCATGTAAAGAGTGAACTGAAGCAAACTTCTTGAAGTGGAAGTCAGGGATCTTTCAAAATAGGTAGCAAAGGAAATAGGAAGTTCTGATAATAGTACCTAGTGTTGTCTTCGACTGTTTATGTCTGGGTCTTACCTGGGTCTAGGTACATATTTAATCTGTACTGTGCTGAGTACGTGGGGGCCTGAGGGCCCTGGACCCCTCGAGAAGAGGGCTGTCACCAGGGCCCCCCCTTGGAGTCACCAGGAACAGTGGCCACAAGCTGAGGGAGGATAGGTTTAGGTTACATATTAGGAAGAACTACTTCACTGTAAAGGTGGCCAGAGCCTGGAATAGGCTTCCTAGAGAGGTGGTGTTCTCACCTTCCTTGGAAATCTTCAAGAGGAGACTAGATAGGCACCTGGCTGGGGTCTTATGACCCCTTCCACCCCTAGTGCTCCTTCCTGCCCATGGCAGGGGGTTGGACTAGATGATCTGTCTAGGTCCCTTCCGACTCATCGATTCTATGATTCTGTGTCACCAGAAATGCATATAACTTTCCACATGTCCATCATCTTGCCCTCTCCCCCCCCACCATCCCACAAAAATTAAAAGTTGATGCCTATGCTTAGTTTACCTGCTGCATTGCACGTTGAAAAGTTTTTTGTGATCATTCATGTAGTCAGTAACACTGTCTTTATTTGTTGTGATTAAATTATAATTTGAATGGTTGCAAAAATGTAAATACTTATTTACCAATGTCAAGTGTTCACAGCTGGGTGTTGTATAGGCATGCAGCTGCAGCCCTGGGAAAATGTTGCTGTCACAGAACTATTAATGTCTGCAGATGTTAACAGTAAACCAGTAGTTGCATCTTACAATAATTCACAAGCGGTAAAATGTATATGTACTATACACAATATATATTTGATTTTAAAATACTGTGGATGTTTGTGTTTGATCCATTGAATCTCATAACATTTTTGTGTTTTGTATTGCATACGTTGAATAGGTGTTGCCAGCAGCTCCAATTTATGTTGCATCTTTTTTGGGAATGTTTCAATGTATTGACTTCCCATTTGGCATTCATTTTAACAGCTTTAAAGCAGGGTAGTGAGGAGGGGATCTGTTCTAAAATAGAATTTCCCAGTGACGTGACTCAGACTTCAGGCAACTTGTAGCAAACTGTCCAAATTTGAGGATTTTGGGGCAGGGGGTTGGACTTGATGATTTTCTGAGGTGCCTTCCAGCCTTAATAGCTATGAAATCTATGAATTAGCTGTTGGAAAACCACATTGAGTATGGATGTTGGAAACTTTTTCCATGTATTACATTTTAAGAAATTGGTACTTTTCAGAAGTTTGAAGTCTTATCCAAAGGATTTTTTTGCTCAGCCTTCTCCCCAACAATGTTGTGGTCAAATAGCTGAAGTTCACTTTATAACCTTTACCTACATGAAATTCTATTCATGTTCACAATTAATTAATTAATTGATAGCACCAAACATGACATAATAGAAGTGCACCTGATTTAGCTCTTGAGAAAGTGTATCAGATGACGTATACATAGAAACAATTTCTGGAATAAGTAGAGTCAGTAAAATAACGATTATCATCAACTTTTTCCTGGGAACTGCTGAATTGTATGTACACTGGTGCTATTTTGTCTCGAGTACACAAGAGTTCAACAGAATATTTAGAAAATATACAGGTTATTATAATAGCTTACTCTTTTGTTCTTTGACAGGAGTGCACCAGATGTTGTTGTTGACAGTGTTTATAACACCTCTTCATGATATCTACTCTGATTTCTCCAAGTTTCAGGAAATGATAGAAACAACTTTAGACATGAGTAAGGTATGGAACAGCTTATTGACTTAATGTGAAATTTCATGTTGAACTGTAGTGATCTGATCCAATTTGAATAAGAAACTTAATATTTGAGCCATATGTAAAAACAAACAAATCCAGACTTTTTGTTACAACAAAACGCTAGCATGTCAGGGTAGTCTCTTGGGCGTAGGTAGAATCTTATTTGAATTGGGGATGTGGGAGGAAAGTAAATTTAGATGAATTGTCTAGGTAGAAAAAGAGCATTCCTTATTATTAGTTTTAAATTTTAAAAACTAGGTGGTTTTCACAGGGGACTTTGAAAAGGATGGGAACTAGGTTCAGCACCTAAGTGTAGTTTTTATATTAGCTTACAAGAATAGTTCATTTCAGGTTCACTTACTGTCCTTTCTTGTAAAGACCTTAGAGCAGCTGTTGAGGCCCTCAAATTGCTCTGCAGCATAACTTGCTGCAGTTTTTCAAAGTGTACATAAATATTTTGCACAAGTACTTATTTTTCTCATCAGCTGTTTTGTGCAACAACCCATCTTGACACTGGAGTGGTCATGTCCTCCGAAGTATTCCGTAGTTTTGCCCAGCTAATAAGGATTCACTGCATTGTGAAGCTTTGAAAACCTTAAATTCATAGGCAGGTGACTTTTCATTTCGAAGTCAGAATAGAAGATGTGGCAAGAATTGCTTGGTGGTGGTTGTATTGACTTTTCCCAATTGAAACATTTGAATCATCTTTCTCTTCCTAAATTAAACACAGATTTATAAAGAGCTCTTGGGGAGCCAGCAGGAAACTGAGCTGTGGAAATGGAATGCACAAGTTTTAAGTAAAAGGTCTTTATTGTATGCACCTGAATGTACTTGCATTAAGACCTAAAGCTCTATAGCATTGGTTCTCCAACTTGAGCAGTAGCAAATGAATGCAACATACATTTTAAAAAATGAGGGAGGAATTTTAAAATCTCATTTAAAAATGTGCTCCTGCTGCTTTCACATAGTTGAGGATTTTTCCAAGGATAACTTCTCCAGAGTAGCACATCACTCAGTGTAACTCAGGTGGCAGTGGCCATGGCATGATAAAATTCAAGATCCTAAGAGAAGGAAGCAAGGAGAGAAGCAGAATAAGGACACTTTGGAAAAACAGAATTTAACAACCTTAGGGAACTGGTGAGCAAGATCCCCTAGGATGCAATTGTGAGGGGAAAAGGAGGCCCTCTTAAGGGTACAGGAGGAAGCTATCTCAATGCAACAGAAGGATGAGAAGTACAACAGGAGTCCAGCCTGACTAGACAGAAATCTCATCAATAAGCTTGTGGGGGGGCATGGTTTCCGCCACTGCTTGCATGCCAGGAGGGCAGGGGTGTGTGTGTGTGTGCGCGCCCCGGATCTGTACAGGTAGGTGGGCTGCATCCGGCACTGCGTGGCTCTTTCTGGTGGGGACTGAGCTCAGAACGGGCACCAGGAGCAGCTGCAGCCCAGTGGCAGAACTACCGAGAGGTTGGGGGAGAGCCATGGTCCCTGAGTGCCGCCCTGGCGTGGTGCGGATCGGGCCCTTCAGAGCCGGATGGAGAGGCTGCAGTGCCCCTTGTGTTTGGTGTGTAGCCCGCCTGGCAGGTTGTAAGTTTCTTTACCTGTTACAGCCGGAAATTTTGTCCATCGCCCCTCTCCCTGCGCAAATTTTCTTTACAGTGGTACCAATCTAATTTGGACCGATGTATCAGTGCACCTCCAGTCTCGTAGGCTTGCAGGGAGAAAATTAGGAAGGATGAGGTATGATTTGAGATGCAACTGGCAAGGAACTTAAAGGACAATAAAAAAGAATTCTATAGTTGCGTTGCAATAATTCTACAATTATGTTGCGAGGAAGAGGAAAACCAAAGAAACCATAGATCTCCCACTTAATGCCGCAGGCAATCTAGTTATGGATGAGGCAGAGAAGGCTGAAGTATTTAATGTAGGGCTGTCAGTTAATTGCAGTTAGCTTACGCAGTTAATGCAAGTACAAATTAACTCACAAATTTTTTTAGTTACGTTAATTGCGCATGTTGTTTTCCCCAGAAGGGTGGACCCAGAATTTGTGTGCACAGCCCTGATCCCGGCCCACCCTGAGCCTGCTTCAGATTCACTTGCCCCTGCTGAGCAGCAGCCAGGCAGAAGCTGCTGTTTGGCATGGGGAGAAAACGGCTCCTCACCCTCACCACTGCCGGAGCAGGTGCGGAGCAAGCTGGGGTCGGGGATGTTCATACAGGTTCCAGCTGCTCTGCTTCGCCTGGGGCAAGTCCAGAGTGGGATGGGGTGAGCTGGGGGTCAGGGCTGGGGCTGTGGGAGGGAGGAGCCACAGGGCACATGGGCTCCATGGTTTTGGGTGGGGGCTGCTGACTGTTGCTTAATTACGACTGATTGGGACTTTTTCTTTAATCTTGCAATTAATTGGGATTAATTTTTAAAATTGTTTGTCATCCCTAATTTAATGCCTTTTTTACTTCAGTCTTCACAAGTAGGGACGGCTACCAGCTGACTAGTGCGTTTGGTAGCAAAAATGGGGAAGATGTCAAACAGCCTAGGGTGAGGCTGGCCAACTTGCAACACATGTAAATGGCATGGGCAGTTTCTGTATGTGGCATGTGGCAGACCAGCAGGGCAGAAAACAGAGCAGCAGATTGGGAAAGGGCATTGGAGTGGCACACTTGCCACAGGGTTTGGCCTCCACTAGCCTAGGGTAATATTAGAACAGATTGGGTGTTATTTAGAAAAGTTAGATGCTTTCAAATAGGTAGGGCTGGATGGGATGCATCCTAGGGTACTGAAGGAATTGGCTGAAGTAATTTTGGAGCCATTGGCTATCTTCTTTGAGATCTTGCAGAGGTTAGGTCAAGTCCCAGGTGACTGGAAAAGGGCAAATATAGTGCTCATCTTTAAGAAAGGAAAAATGGAGGATCTGGGGAACTACAGACCAGTCAACCTGAACTCTGTGCCTTGAAAGAACATGTTGCAGGTCCTCAAAGAATGTATCGTGTAGCACCTAAGGGAGAGCAAAGTGATTGGACTAGCCAATGAGGATTTGCCAAGAGTAAGTCATGCCTGACTAACCTGATTTCACCTAGGATAAGGTGACTGGTTCTGTGGGTGGGGTGAGAGCAGTGTGTGTGATGTACCTTGATTTTTAGCAAGGGTTTCAATGCTGTCCCTCATGACTTTTTCATCAACAAACTAAGTGACTAAGTGAAAGTACTGTAAGGTAGATACAGGATCGCTGTGCTCAATGAGTAGTCATTAAGTAGGTTGGGAGGAGTATTAAGTGTGGTTCCCTCAGGGGTCTGCCCTGTGTCTGGTATTGTTTAATATCTACCGTAATGATTTGGATGGTGGGATTGAGTGCATGCTTAGCAAATTTGCGGATGATACCAAATTCAGTAGAGTTGCACACACTTTGGAAGGTAGATCTAAGATCCCAAATGAGCTGAATAGACTGGAACAATGGTCTGCAGTCAGCCAAATGAAATTCAGCAAGGACAAGTACAAAACACTTGGAATGAAATCAGTGCGTGCAGAAATACAGACTGGAAATGGCTGGTTAGGCTGTAGTACTGCAGAGAAGAACCTGGAGGTTACAGTAGACCAGTGGCTTTCAACCTTTTTTCATTTGTGGACCCCTAAAAAATTTTGAATGGATGTGCCAGACCCCTTTGGAAATTTTGAATGGAGGTGTGGATCCCTTTGAATTGTAACTGTGTGTATTTGCATACTTTTGATTTGATCATAATCATCTTTTGTGAACCCCTTGGACCTAGTTTGTGGATCCCCAGGGGTTTATGGACCACTGGTTGAAAACCACTACAGTAGACCATAAGCCAACATCATAGTGGGCACATCTACACAAGATGCTATTGCATAGTTGTTACTGCTCATTTACCTAGTACTTGTATTAGCCAGTAACCGGTGTTACTGCACAGTAGCACCAGTGAATGTTTTCTAGGTGATGCTACAGCACAGTAGCCTAATAATACTGCACAATAGTGTATTAGCACTGTCCATGCTGTGATGCGGTGCTGCGCAGTATTTTTCAGCTATTGTGCAGTCAGCGTCTCCTGTAGATGCACCCACTATGTTGTATCAACAGGTATGTCACTTGTAAATCAAGGGAAATGATTCTTCCACTCTGTTCAGCACTTCTGAGGCTTCACCTGGAGTACTGTGTCCAGTTTTGGGCCCCACAGTTCAAGAGGAATTTGCAGAGGATAGAAAGTTTCCAGCTGGGAGTGCAACAGAAGTTACTGGAGGCCTGCGGAAAGGCTAAAAGAATCAGAGTTATTTAGTCTGAAGAAGAGAAGACTGAGAAGAATTTGATAAGTCTTCAAATTCCTGAAGGACAGTTTATAGGGAGGCCCATGGCCTGTTTCTCTGTGGCTGAAGGGGAGAAGACTAGGAGAAGTGGCCTTAAATTGCAGCAGAGCAAGGTTTAGCTTGGAGATAGAGGAACTTTCAGACCGTAAGGGTGATCAAGCATGGGAACAGGCTACCTAGAGAAGTTGTGGACTCTACCTGTGGAAGTTTTCACGAGCAGCTTGGAGAGACATTTGGTTGGGATGGTTTAGTTAGGGCGAATCCTGCTGTGAGTAAGGGGCTGGAGTAGATGAGTGGTTCTCAACCTCTTTTGTACCAGCACCCATTTGTAAACATTGATGGCCTGTCCTTACCCATTAAATAGTTTAAGTAGAAAACAGGTCCCCAATCCTGCTGGTGCCCCTCATTCCCAACCCACTGCCCCCAGCCCCACAGTGTGTGGGGCAGTGGGTAGGTGTGTGGAGCCGGGGAGGGCATATGCCCCCCCAGATTTGTATGCCCACAGCAGACATGGGGCTGGAGCCTGGCTGGACTGGCACAGGCAGGAACCACCTCCATGGCTCAGCAGTGAGGACCCAGCGTGGGAGGGCAGAGCAGGGTGGTGAGACTTGTTGCCAGGACCCATGCGCCAGCTGTGCTGCCAGCAGTGTAATGGATGGGAGGGGGCCGTGCTGCCTTCACCTCCTTTCACCGAGAGTCATTAACGAGCTGGGCCCTGGCCTGGCTGATGCCGCTTCCTGCAGCCCCAGCTCTGCTCCGGGGTAGAGTCATAACCTGAGGGGAGTGGCAATGGCAGCAGCAGCTGGGCCGTGGCAGCAGGGTATTGCCACGGCCTGGTACATAAGCATCTGGTAGCAGGAGGAGGTGAGGGCTGTGGCTTCCCCATGTGGTACTCCTTGTGCTGCTGGCGGCACAGCAGCTGGAGCAGGGGTCCTGACAGTAGTGGCAGCAACGAGTCTCGTTGCCCTGCTCCACCCTCCTGTGCCGGGTCCTGCTCACTGGGCTGTGGCAATAGCTTCTGGTCATGTACCTTCGTTCCACTCCCCCAAGCACCCCCATGCAGGCAGGAACTGTGCCAGCCTGCAAGGGGAAACCCAGAGTTTCCCATGTTTTTCTCCTTTAAAGGAGAATCTGTTTTTAAAGTTTGATCCATTTTTAAAGTTTGTTCACAACCCTTTCATATATTCTTGTGATCCATGAATTGAGAAACAATGGACTAGATGACCTTGTGAGGTTCCTTCCAGCCCTACTTTCCTATGTTCATATTAAATAAACTACTCACATACTGTATATATAGTAAGCTACTGTGCTTTTTTTATAAAAAGGTGAGTGTATGTATAGTTCTGTTGCTACAGTATGTTAAACTGCCAGATTGATCTGCTAATTAATTTTTATTAAGTGACACCTAGATGTCCCAATGAAAATGAGAGCCCTAGAATTTATAATTTTATGCTAGTTGGAGATCATCTGTTTATGTAGTCGTATGTCTTATGTGGAAGAAATGGGACTCTTGTTTTCTTATCTAAACCAAAGGCTTGTCAGATAAGCCTTTACCTTTCAGGGCTCATCTCTTCAGATCTTTTTCCAGCTTTTTTTAGATAAGTGTTTTTACTGCACTTCTAACCAAAATAATTACTTGGATATTTTTAATGATGCCCTATAAAATGTGTCATGTTGGATATGTTTACAAGGCGGCGGAGTTGATTAAAATGGCTATTGATTAGCCAGCTGTGGATTTACTGAACAGTAAACTTTCCTCAGAATAAGCATTAAAATTTTAACCTCTTGGCTCTGCTAGATTCTTATAGGATTTAAATAAAATGTCCAACTCTTTAGCAGAGAATAGAGTACGATAAACTTACAAGTTGTCATAGCAACCAAATTGTATCAGAAATCCATTCAAAGTAAGCTTCCTAGGGTAGGGATCAAAGATCATTATTTGAAAACTGCCACATATTTGCAGTTCCATATAATTTAGTCATTTAACTAGCTGTAATAAATGTTAATAATGTTTTCCCTTCCTATCATTAGTTATCACTTTCCATAGACTTGATGTACGTGGTTTTGAATGTTCTGTGAAAGTATCTAGTGTGTGGTGCTGTATGGCAGGGTTCAGTCATAATTAGTTTACATATTCTTTGATTCTGCAAACACCTAAACACCTGTAAATTTATCCATCTGAATAGTTCCATTGCGAAGACTTCAGTGGGTCCACTCATTTGAGTATAAATGTATTCCTGTACTTAATTGCTTGCAAATTTAGGGTATTAGGTTGGTATTTATCCATCTGTTTAAATATTTTAATTTTATACCTTTTTAAATTAATTGGAGAGAAGTTCAGAAAAAATAGATGAAGGGCCAGATCCAAATTATCCTTCTAGGTGCATAAGCATTTTATCCACTAACATGTCACGGTTTCTAATGCTTAGGTCCTTTACCTCTGGAAGGTGATCAAAATAGAGAGGGTGAGATGTGTGGAGTTTTTGGGCAGTAAATGAGGAGATGTGAGTGCCCCCTAAGGGCGATTATGACCTCACTTGTTACACCTGATGGTAAGTGCTAGAGGTAGAGATGTGTCTGAACTCCTTTTCCTCAGAGTTCAGGCATTTGATTTGGGGCTACAAAGAAGGCGCATCTGGCACCGTGGACAGCCAGGCTGTTCAGAGTGGCGTGTGCCTACCTGAATCAGAACATCTTAAAGGACAGGCACATTAAGTGCAGAATAAAGCACAGCACTCCCCAAATCATTCTTAAATAAAGAGGGCCACGTCTTGCTCAGTAGTCTAGTAGAAAGGTCAGTTATATGGGGGACACCTGGATGCTAGACCCCCTTTAGCCGAGTGGGGGACAAACCCAAATTTCCCATCTTACAGAGTGATCTAACCACCAGGCTACAGGCTAGGCTGGGAAGAAGGTTTCCCTCCACTGCTTCCAATGAAATTGAACTTCTGGGCAGCTAAGAGTGGAAGAATCATGAGGCTAGGACAAGAGCAAGCGAGAGGGAGGGAGCACGATCCGTTAGCTGAATTAGGAGGGAACTTTCTTGGGGGAGGGGGCATTGGTCCAGCCATGCTTATGCTTTGCTTTTTCATGTGAGCAAAGTGTTTTATGCGTTTTCCACTGGAGTATCTGGAACAAGGGACCTTAGTGGTAATGTCACAAGTAACGAGTGACGGAAACGTGAGATGGTTCCTGCCATTGTGGATTAAGAGGGTTGACCGGTGCTGACCTTGTTTGGGTCAGGGTAGAAATATCTGCATTTTGAGATTAATCAGAGCCCCTTGGGTGAGTGAAATTTTGTCTTGCAGGTAAATTTACCTTACAGTAAATTTAGCAGCTTAGCAGAGTTCCTTTATGGGGAGAGGGCAGGGGTGATTAGGCTCAGGCAGTTGTTGAATTAGAGAATATGAAGTTTGGGTGAAGAGGGGAGCCGTGCAAGAGGGTAGGAATGTTTGATGCATGTTCTGCCCCTTGGATGCCACCCCTTGTTTTGCTAGGCCTTTTATAAGCACCCTGAGCAAGGACTTGGACTTGCAGAAGGGCCAGATTTAGCATCTGACATTACTGTTGACCTCTAGCTCATCACAGAGGTAGAGTCATCTTCTTCATCCTAAAATTGTACTTATTCCAGGTCTCAAACAGCTGTCTCCCAGAAGCCTGAGGTGGTAGCCTTGTCACACAAGTGACATGTTGCCCAGTGAGAGATGATTCTCAGGTGCTGCATAAAGCCGGCTACCCCGGTAGGTCCTGACCTACATGACTATTGCAGCAGACTATCTTGAAGGTAGTGCATGACTATTGCAGCAGATCTGCCTGTCAGCTGCTGTTCTTGGTCTTGGCTCTTTGTGGGTACTTCTAGAAACACCCTCACTGATACTGCTACACTGACATAACAGCTGCTTTTCAAAGTTTAGGACAAACCCTGGCAAGCCATTCTTCCTGCCATCCATTTCAAGAAAGGGCTTTTAAAATAAATTTTACCCTTATGGGGAAGTTTTCTCAGGAAATACTGGGTCTGAGTCCAGCACTGTCTTTCACAAGTTTGGTGTGTTCCCAACTGGCCATTAAAAATCCCACAAACCATTGTTTCAGGTGATGGTACCGGGAACTGTGTGTTAGGCACTTGGATAGTGATAAAGGCTGAAACTGCAACTTAAGCAGCATGCTCAGCATGGGTACGTTGTACTGCTGGTATTTTCCCATTTGTTTTCCTACCAAAGGTTTGGTTCTCTAGTGTAAGCACAGAGCTGGTAGAGTAAAGAATATTGATGCTGGGGTACTGGTGGACCGGTATGGGACTAGCAGCTTATATTGCGTGTACTGCATTGTGAAGCTTCATATGGGAACTTATTTTGGTGGCTATTTAGCCCTTTAAATTTGAAATAATACAGACTCTTAAATCTCTAGATTGCATTACCAGTTCCTACTATGAAGTCACTTTAAAATGGCCTAATATGACTACAGGGAACCCATGTATTGTACAGCTGTGCAGAAAAAAAGACGTGGATTTAAGTTGAGTGGAGGTCCTTTCTAGCCCTACCTTTTCCTGTGCTTATGTTGAACTGTGGGTTTTGGCTGATGTGTAGGAAAGTGCCTTTCCATAACCCTGTGGAGTATTCCTTTGTTAGAACTTTTGCAGAGAAGCAGAAGCTCCTTATTTTAGAAAACTTCCTGGTTTGTAACTCCTTCCCCAACCCCTCCCATACCCATTTGTTTGTCTCTAGCAGAGAGACAAATCTAGGATGTTATGCAGATTGAGAGTCATGTAACAGTCATTTCATCACACTTGGCATATTTGTCTGTTTGCTAGTACTAAGCTTTGTATATATTCAGATAAATCTGTCTATCTTGAAGGTAAATGGGTCTGTCAGATTGGTAATTTTTTGCCTGTATGAAGAATGATGTATTTGTATTAACAAACAGATGTTTGGGGGACTCGTTTGCTTTGTAGGTGAATTAGTCAAATTCCAATCAACCAAGGATATAATCTAAGATGTATATTAGTGAATGATGAAATGTACCACAAAAGATTAAACAAATTGAAGATTAAATAAATGAGTAACATCTCTAATTAGTGCATAATTTGTGTCCTAACACTTCTTGATTGCTCTTTATATTTATATTAATTGTTTCACTCTGTTTTCCAGGTGGAAAATCATGAATTCCTTGTAAAGCCTTCTTTTGATCCTAACCTGACAGAATTAAGAGAGAAGATGAACAAAATAGAGGAGTCCATGCAATCTTGTCTTAAGACAGCAGCTAGAGAGCTAGGTATGGTAGGGTAAGATTCTCTCTGGTATCTATTTCCTTTGTGAAGTGTTTTGAAATCTACTGATGAAAATTGATATGTAAAAGCTAGGTACTGGTATCTAAGGTGGTCGGTGGAGACTAACAATGATTTTAGGCCCAGATTATTTTTAACAAGGGTAATGTTCCACAGGTAACCAGACATAGCTCAGGAGACTGCCCAATTCATCTACCATTAATGTAACTCCTTCTAGCCATCTCAATTTCTTTTTAATTTAAATTTCATGAAAACATTAATCTTATCATGTCCATTCATTTAGGTGTCAGTTTTGGAATGGATAGTTTTCTGTGGTAAGAAGGTACACATCAATATATGGCTGAATTCCTTTGAAGCATACCTAAACATTTTACAGGCTAATATTTATTGTGTAATACAATCAATATGAGGTGGTGGATTTAGTCAGTAATAGTCACCTGCTTAATGAAAAAAGTAGCAGAGAAAATTGGCACTGGTTATAAAGTATATTAATGTTTGAGATGATGTTCAGTTTTTTTTCACAATATGGCTTTGCTCCCATGAGCCTGTCTCTCTATTTTGAAGGTTTCAAATGTACCCTACATAGATGGTATTCACTATTGCATGTGTGCATCTACAGGTGTGCATCCATGCTCTTCCTTGCAGTATGAAAAGCATGAAGAATTGTACCTGCCTGGTCAGCTACTTCAGTCTGTAGCTGAACTTGTTGTGTTCAAAAGATAGCACGTAACTTATCTTTAGGGACCTACCTAAATTGTGACTGAAGTTAGCGATGCCTTTAGTTTCACTTTGTTGCCCCCCTTCCCCCACTGAAGGCAATTCACAGAAGTTTAGGGCTGGAAAAGACCTGGTGAGATCATTGGGTCCAGCCCCCCCTGCTCTGGGCAGGAAAGACTGCTGGGGTCAAATAATCCCAGCAAGGTGTGCATCCAAACTTAATTAATACCGTGGTTTCTGCCTCTTGGCTGCTGGGGGAGTGGGCAGTGAAAAGGGTGAGCTCTTCGGGTGAGATTTTAAAGGTACTGCCACAATTTAGGTAGGTACCTCCTTTGGCTTCTTTGAACTGATAATAATTAAACATGTCCCCAAAAACCCCCTTCATGGGACACTTTGTTCTGCTGCCCAATATAATTTAAAGTGGCAAGTAAATTAACAATGTTCAGACAATGGAAATTAATAAATATAGATAACACAGTGATACGTTTCTAATGGTGCACTCATTCTTTTCCTCCTCTCCCACCTTCCCTCTATCCAAAGGGTTGGAGGCTAGTAAGAGCATCAAACTGGAGTCTAGTGCACAGTTAGGGCATCACTTCCGAATTACCTGCAAAGAAGAGAAGGTCCTCCGGAACAACGCAAAATATAAAATCTTAGACACACAGAAGAATGGTGTGAAATTCACTAACAGGTATTTGAAGTGTCAGCTATTTCTCAGGTCTGTTAGGACAGACCTGATAAATATCCTTTTTGGTTGTTTTTGCCATAAAAATACTGGTGCCATATTTAGGTGTTGAAGTGCTTGCTTTTTTTCTGCCTGTTTTATTTGCAAAATGAAACATTAAGTGAGATTGCTAAGCGGGGAAAAAAGCAGTAATGCGTGCAAACTGACACAACCACACTTCCAGCCGCCCCATTTATACCAACTACTTTGGCTGCTTTGATTTTGGTAAGTGTCTGTGCTTAGCCTGCAGCCATCAGTGTGTTTCTTGCCTTCATTGTAGCAGTGAGTGTATTTCTGCAGGCTGCTGTACAAAACAGCCATTTATACTTGTTCCTGAACAGAACGTAGCTGACTGTCGGTAATCTGTTTCTTAGTACACTTGGCTGAATAAATTTTCTATTTGTGCATATTAGTTATGATGTGACTGTGTACCTGTGGCTGTTGATGATTTACATTTAAAGTTATAAGCTGTTGCCTGATCTGCTTTATTCTTCATGCTGTTACAAGTATTCTTTTAGTTTACTTAAGGAGCAAAATGCTTGGAGCAATAGTGTGCAGCAGGTCAAGTCTGAGATAAAAGCTCTTTCTCCTTTGGACAAAGTGTCAAGTGGTGCGAGGTTGATTATGATATGCTTTTCCTGGTTAGTGAAATGGGTCTTAACTGATAGATCTGTATAAGAACTTTGCACCCAGTGCAAGCCGGTTTCAAGCTAATGCTATTAGTATCTGTTAGTCACTCGCTTTCAGGAGCAATAAATTCTCTGCTTTGAAAAGAGGCATGAGCCTACTGGCTAAGTATACTTTTGCACTAGTTTTTTTAGTTATAGTCTAGATAGGCCTACAAGGTCTGTTGAAGTACGTTGGGCAAGGTATGTTGGCTCCTATAAGCAGTTGCATGCAAGTGCTTCTGACTTCCCAGCCTGAGTGACCACAGCTTTGGTTCAAAGCAGGGTTTGAACTCATACCTCTGGACCGGTTGTGAGGTGCCTTAACTGCTCATTCCTACTGCAGCCCTTCTAATTTGTTTAAATGACCAAAATCAAAAGACTGAGGACAGGAACATTTGTTGAGTTGCAAAGAGAATAATGTTCTTCAAAGCAACCATGAAACATATAAAGCATCTCCCCCTTGTGTGAAGACTTTTTACTTCGTAGATCTAAGCTGATGTTTGGATTTAGGCTCTTTCACAGAACAAGTGAAATATATTTTAGTGAATAATTATTTCTAAGGAGTTTGCCCAAGAATCACTTACCAAAACTGATTTTGTGATTTGGTTTGGATAAAGCCACTCAAAGCAGACTGGGCGCCAGACCTCGGGCTGAACTTCTCAAATAGTAGAACTGGCACAAATCACAGTGCAGCCTTTCGTGTGTGGTCTCATTAAGTCTAACCTGGAGGCGAAAGATAAAAGGATAGTTGAAGAGTTTGTTTAAACAGTCTCTTTGAACATGAAGCATTAAATCAACCTTATTTGAAAACTGAAATGTTGCTAAGGTGCAGTTACTTAAGATCCTCCAAATAGAAAACTGAATGTTGGTATAAATGCTTTCTTTAAAGGAGTCCATAGTCCTGTTGTGACCCCTCTATGACACTGGGCAAATCAATAACTTGCTCGGTGTTTGGTTTTCCTTCCATCAGATCTTCCACACATCACAGTATGTGGTAGGTTAGCCATGAGTCCCACTTTCATTCAGTCCTTTAAAAGAAAATCCAGTTGCCACACTTTGCAGCTATAGCAAACATATAGACTGCAGGACTTCAAGAATAGTTTTATAGTGATGTAACTCGTAGTTTTCAGGGTCACAGTAAGGATCTTCAGCTGGAAAACAGAATAAGCCATTTGTTCATGCCAGCTTATCTGTGCCACATCTTGATGCTTAAATTGAAGTCCCCTGAGCAAATACCTGATGATATTTTGGAATGATGATAGCTTGTCACAAAGCAAAAAGACAAAAATGAGCAAAGAATAGTAGAAATTGAGAACATCACAGGTTGTAAACATTATGATTTTTTTCACAGTAAATTGAGCTCCTTCAATGAAGAATACTTAAAATACAAAGAGGAGTATGAAGAGGCCCAGGATGCCATTGTTAAAGAAATCATCAACATTGCTTCAGGTAATAGGGCAGTGCTAACGCACAAAACATTGGAGAGCTGCTATAGCTCTTTTCTTGGTTGCCATGTATGTGATGGGTCACTGTCAGTGGTTCATTTTGATATCCTCCATGTTGTGGTAGTGTTGGGGTGATGTAATTGTGATGGTCCATTAGGGCTACAGCATCACCTCAACACTATTATATCTAGGATGTGCAGTTGGTGTCATCACAGATCCCTGTTGCTTCCAAACTGTTCTTGAAAACATATTCATCTGTTCAGCTATTTACGCAACATGCTAAATATTTTGTTCCGCCGTATGTTTTAGCACTGGTTACCTGCACTCATCTCCATTATCTGTGTTGATCCTTGTAAAGGATAAATAGAAGGGGCCAGTAGATAAAAATCATTGTTCTTTTCATGGAACAGAGAGGTATTACTAGAAATGAGCTACTGCATCAGGCGTTTCTGTTTGTTCAGTCAGCTTAAAGATACTCTGCTAATAGATCATCTTAATAATGGGATGACTTTTTCACAAATAATAATAGAGAATTTCTGCATGAAGAGTTCTGTAATATTTTAGCTTATCCAGAGTTGCAGTTTCATTCAAAGCAATCACTACATCTTTGAGGGGAAAATTTGAAGGGCTTAGTAAGCATAAACCTGCAGACAATAACGTAAAGTTAAAAAATTGTTTTCTTAAACCTATATGATTAGCTAATATAGCTTGGGAAAAACTGGGAATTGGGTATCTTTTAGCCAAAGAATACTGAAGAAAATATTAGAAAAACAGGGTATCAGTGTTCTGTGCCTTCGTGAATACTTTTTATGCTGTAAGTCTAGTAAATGAGTTCTATTAATTCTGTCAAGCACTGTTTTTGAGAGCTAGCTGTGATGATTTTTCTGGGCATACAGGCTAGGGACAGAAGTTACACATAAACCAATTTAAATGATCAGGAACTGGGTGAAACCTGTAACAGAATAGAAGTTCAGTGCACTTAAACTGCTTTCAAATTGGTTGAAACTGGTTTAAGATAAACCTGGTTTGAAGTAGTATATATCAGACTGAACTGATTTAGGACAAACCGGTTTATGCAACTTCTGGCCCAGGTCCCCTTCCAATTCAAGTTAAGTTGCAGCCCTTCAGCCTCCCAAGATGCCATGCAGCCCTGGGCTGTGCTGTCTGCTCCAGCAGAGCAGGGCTGGCCATGCCTCTAGCTGTCAAGGGGGGCTTTTCCTTCCCCCGCAGCCAGGAGCCAGGGCAATTCCTCCAGTCCCACCCCCTCCCTGGCTGGAGGGATTGGCCTGGCTCAGCACCGTGCCTAGACTCCTGACAGCCCTGGGTGACTTTTTAGTCCTGGGCCCCTCTTTGCCAGAGATAATGATGATAATAATTTAAAAATTAACATTTTCGGGCCCCCTTTCTGTCCGGGCCCTGGGCAGCTGCTGGGTTTCCCATGCCTGTGTCTGGCCTTGGCCTGGCTTGGGTGGGGGGAGTAAAGCCCCCAGTGTGAGTTTCTTCTCTCCCCCTCCCCAGCCCCTGTTGCTGGGCACAGCCCAGTGGGGTCAAGAGCCAGGCAAGAGGTGGGGGGCAGCCTTTTTCCACCCCTCCTCCCTCCTCAGCTGGCCTGCTGGCTAAAGTGGGCATGTGGCTAGGTGATCAGTCCGGCTCCTGGCTTCCAGCTGAGGCAGGAAGAGTAAAGCCCCCATGGTGGATTCCCTGCCCCCATCTGCACTAGGCATAGCCTGGCTGAGGATCTGGAGCTGGGGAGTGGGGGTGGGGTGGGTTTCTCCCCCACTTCCTCCTCAGCTGGCCTGCCAGCCAAGGAGGGGGCACAGTTAGGGGACTTGCCTGGCTGCAGGTGGGTGGCATGGAAGGAAAAATGCCCCACTGGGGGCTTCCCCCTGCATCAGGGAGACCCTGACTGGTGGTCTGGTGGGGGGAGGGGTGGGGTTCCACTCATGCATGCCCCATAGCCTTCCTGGGGCTAAAGACAGGGTCTGGCTATGGGACTTGCCAGTAGCCAGACCCTGAGCATGGAGTCAGGGAGAGAGAGAAACTTCACTCGGGGCTCCAGCTCTGGGCATGGAGGTTGGGGGAGAGAGAAGCTCCTCACTGGGGGCTTCCTCTCTACTCCTTTCTCTTGTGCCAGAGGTGAGGGGTTCTCCTCCCCCCCACGTGCTCCCCAGCAGCTGGAGGCTGAGGAGAGGGCTTCATTAGGGGAATCGTCAGCTCCAGGCTCTCTGTGGCCATCAGGCTGGGAGGCATGCTCTAATGCCCCCAGGTGCTGGTATGGCCACTGCAAGAGTTTGGATGCCTTTCCGGTTTGAAAAGTGAACATGAGTTCACTTATTTATCAGTTTAATCTAGGCAGTTTAGAGAAACCTGCAAAGATTGAATCGATTCAGCCTCAAGCTGTTTGACTGTCTGTACTTAGCCAGAAATTTCTCTCTGTTCTGTACCCAGCTGTGCAGCAGCACGACAATGCTGTGAGTTAAAACTTTGCACAGCAAGATGCTTCTGAAATCCCAGCAAAATTGCCCAACAGCGTTTTCTGAAATGAACTTTCTGCAGTACACTAATCACTTCTTCTGACATGTTATACTACTTGCAGTGTTAAAGTAATTATAGTTCTGTGGCTTAATCACTACAGATTCTAGTACTGTTAACACAGTGCATAAAATTTAAATCATTGTGCAGTATGTGCTCTCAGTGGCTCTTGCCTTCCTTGTGTGTCCAAATGAAGAGTCACTATGCAAAGGAAGAGATTTCTAGTTATTCTGTTCTGTACATTTGTATTCCATATTTAAATAAGCTTTCCTTTTTCCTCCCAAGTCAGTTGGGAGCAATTGGTATGTATATGGTGCTTCCCCTTCAAAGAATGAGAGCAGCACCCTTCTGTAGTCACACACAGAAGTCGCACGATAATTTCTTGACTTCTCCTGTGGCGTGTGGGTTGTCACTAATTTATCAATATCTTTTGCACATGATGCTGTTGTATTTCACGTGAGTGAGAGATGTGAGTACAGTGCATTCTGATTTATTTGTAGAAACCAGTCATACTCTCAGTATGTTTAATACATTAAGTTTTGCCTTTTTTTCCATAGGTTATGCAGAGCCAATACAGACAATGAATGATGTGATAGCTCAGTTAGATGCTGTTGTCAGTTTTGCTCATGTATCAAGTGGAGCCCCTGTGCCATACGTCCGCCCAGTCATTTTGGAGAAGGGACAAGGACAGATTGTGTTGAAAGGTTCCAGACACCCTTGCATCGAAGTGCAAGATGATGTAGCATTCATTCCCAATGATGTCACCTTTGAGAAGGGCAAGCAGATGTTTCATATTATTACTGGTAAATGTATATGCAATATTTTTTTTTCAGATTTTGTTTTCAAATGTTTCAAATGGCATTTCTTAAGTTTTACTTGTGAGACATGCTACAAAAGAAAAAAGTCAAACTGCTGAGTCTTTAATAGGTAAAAGGAAGGGAAAAGCAGTTATTAATTTACTCATACCTGCATTGGCATTTGGGGGTAGTTCTTATGTCTGGCTTTTGTAATCTGTTATACTTCATGTGTTTTATAAAACAAAGGGTGACAGTTATGCCTGTTTATTAAGCATTTCCATTCATGCTGGGTGCTCTGGTAATCCAGCATGCATACATTTCCATATGATTGTTCATACAGACTTGTAAACAGATACTAAACCCTACATTCATGTGTGACACCATTTAAGCCTGTTGAAGTTGCTTAACTAGTTAGGTGTAGGGAAATCTTGACCCGTTTAGGTCCTTTAGAAAATTCCATTAGCTACCTCTGTATTTTTAGGTGCTGACTTGTAAGTACTTTTGTTTTAGGACATATTGGGGTAGATTTTTGATGGCCAATTCACCAACTGCAGCTACTTTTTCCTTTGTTTTTTCAGTTTTAAATGCAAAATATGTTCTGATAAACACAGCTTGTTCTTGTACATCCAGCCCAATTAAGCTGGTTATATTGAAATAACGCACCTTTTAAATTGAATTCTAATTTCCACCCAAATGCAGCTTGACACAAATCATGAGCAAAATAATAACAGCAATCTATTGTACAAGAATGTGAATAAATGGATGCTAAGCTGCATAATTTCTTAAATGTGTCCAGATACAATGGTTAGCAAACAGAGTACAAGATTTAGTACAGGTTGCATTTGGCTGCTAAGCAGTGTCTTTCACTGGATGCTGCTTTAGGAAAAATACAAAAATCAGTTATTTAAATCCAGGTTTCTTTCTTACGCTGGTTTCAGTGGGGGGAACTTGAATCACTTATTTCAGTCAGTCTACCCTTTCTGTAAATAAGGCTCTTTATATAGAGCAGATTGTCAGTAGCTGCTCTTCTAGGTTAAAATAAACTGCATTAATTGCTTAAAGGAAATGCTGTCATGATGGATGGGTATAAAATTAGAGCCTATGAGCTTTGCTTTGATTTTCTGGTATGAACATGCACTTCTGATTGCTCATATTTTTGAGACGAAAACTACTCTCCTTTCAGAAGAACTGTATTTGGGAATGGGAACTATCATCAAATGCATCCAAGCATCCATTTGTTCCAGCAGAGCTAAAGGTCTTTCCCCTAGTAGTAGCAAGAAAATGTTTTCAGCTGTGCTTTAAGTTCAGTTTGGTCTTGGATTTGTTAACCTTAAAGCTATAAATCATATTAAACAGAGAGGAAGCTGTATTCCTTAATATCTTTGTAAAATTAATTCCTTAGGACCTAACATGGGAGGGAAATCTACATACATTCGCCAGGCTGGAGTGATAGTTCTTATGGCCCAAATTGGATGCTTTGTACCATGTGACTCGGCAGAAGTGACTATTGTGGATTGTATCCTGGCTCGGGTAGGAGCAGGAGACAGTCAATTAAAAGGAGTCTCTACTTTCATGGCAGAGATGTTAGAAACTGCTTCAATTCTTAGGTAAGAGGTATACCTGCTTTGTTTTCTTAAAAATCGGTAGGATACATTCTAAATATGATGTATAAAGTTAAAGTGACCTTTGCAAGTTCTTTATATTCTACTGCCTTTGATTACTTAAGGCACTGCCTCTTAAACTAGGGATTGTTACCCCAGGGATTGCAAGATCCTTTCAGCTGAGATGCAAATAATTGCCAACTTTTTAGTTATGTTAAGTAATCATGGGGTTGTGAAATAATCTCTTGTTATTGGGAAGGTGTTTCAAGTTCAAGTAAATTTTGAGAATCCTGACCAAAAATGTGCAGTGTAACACTGCCAGGCTGTCCTCTTGAGTACCAGTTTTTACTTAACATTGATTTTGTTTTCCTTCACACGTTGTCATGCCAGCACAATAATTGGGCAAAATATAAATTTGGGGTCTGTGTATATTAGTTTAACTGTATTTAGTGTTAAAACTTTGAATTTCAGAGTTGTGTCATTTAATTTGAATTTCAGAGTTTGTGCTATTTAAACTTGGAAAAGTGATTATTTTTTTTTCCCCTTGTTTTAGGACTGCCACAGAAAATTCTCTGATAATCATTGATGAGCTGGGAAGAGGAACTTCAACATATGATGGATTTGGGCTGGCCTGGGCAATTTCAGAATACATTGCAAGCAAAATTCATGCCTTCTGCATGTTTGCCACACATTTTCATGAACTGACAGCACTTGCTGGCCAAGTGCCAACTGTCAATAATCTGCATGTCACAGCACTTACTACTGACGACACACTGACTATGCTTTACCGTGTCAAAAAAGGTGAGATCTAAATGCTGAGCTAGGTAAAAATGTGTCCGATGCCAAGAGAGAAGAGATTAAATCTTCCTTTTTCTGAGGTTTGGTGCAGGTGGGAGTCTACATTTTATAAGATCATCCTACTTCTATAACAAGAGTGGGCAATTATTTGAGCAGGAGGGCCATTTAGGGAATGTTGGTGAGCTTTTCCAGGCCAGGTCAGCAACCCTGCCTCCCCCTCCATCCCACCCTGGCCTGCAACAGCTCACCAAAACTCCCTAGTGGCTCTGCCCTGGGGCCCGGCCCCATGCTGTCACTGCCCAGTGATCCTGGGGTCTCCATGGAGATTGACCCATGTAGGCAGGATACACTCAGTTGGGTGGATGGGATGGAGCTGTGGGTGGGCAGGGAGCAGTGTCTGGAAGTGGGGTGGACAGGTGGGGTTGGGATTGCAGAGCTGTAACAGCACAGGTTTGGGGCCTGAGGCAGAGCTATGATCTGCTCCTGGCAAGCCCTGCCTGTGCACCTGGCTGCTAATCGCACTGGGTAGGAGGAGTTGGTGTAAGATGGCTGAGAGCTGGAGCCCCATGCGCTGGGGCAGGAGCCCTTTGGCTGCAGCTTCCCTCCCTGCCTGGCTGGGTGGTACCTGACGTGTGTCCCCAGGGCTGTTGCTGCTTCCATGTGCTGCCTGCTGTCTGGGGTGGTGCAGGAGGAGGAGCTGCTGAAGACAGTGAGAGCTGAGCAGTACCTGGGTGATGGGAGCAGCCTCACTGGGAAGCTGTGCACACCGGCCAGGGCTAGAACGTCAGGCAGGAGCGTGGCACAGGCAGGAGCAGGCGGGGCTCAGCCCCATGCCAAGTGTTGTGTGGGTGGCTGCAGGCTGGATAGAGTCAATTGGAAAATGCCCCCAATGGGCTGGATCCAATCAGTTGGCAGGCTGGATTCAGCCCATGGGCCGTATTTTGCTCACCTCTGTTCTATAACGTAAATTGGTGCCCATTTTTAATCCTGCTTTTTTTTCTTAAAGCTTGGTTTATGAAAAGAAATTCTTCCAAAATAATTTCACTGTTCTCCACATTTCAAATTAAACCTATCTTTACCTTACCAAATATTTCAGACCTTTTAACTTTGTTTCAAAGGAGATTATTTCAACGTGAGAGATTAGAGATCGACAGAACAGTTCAATTAAGATGGAAAAAAAATGAAAGAGTAAATTTATGGGTATAGGCATCTTGAGGCTTTTATTTATTTATTTTTTCAGTGATTAGGAAATAGAACTTTATAAAGAGACATGGGCCATTTTTACATATATAGGCGCCGCAGCACCGCATGCTTTGAAAAGCGCCTGGCACTGTGACACTTGCAGTTGTATAAGTGGCAAAATGCTGAGAAAATGTCAGTGGCGCGCTTTTGAACTAAAACACATAGGAAAGTACTTTAGTTCAGAAGCTCACTGCCACCATTTTCTGCACGCTGACGCGCATTTCACTACTTATATAACTGCCTGTGACACAACACAGTGCGCATTAGCTCATGCATGGATCTCTAGTGGATCTCCGGCGTGTCACAGGACCAAAATGTATGTGTATAAATGCCCAGTATCACTGAAGGCATCACAGCAAGCCTGGTTTAGCAAGGCTGCTTTGCCCCCCACTCCCTCTCCTCCCCATTCTCAAGGGCACATTAGTGAAGCAACCAGTATTCTCATACATTACCATGCTTGAAATTAATTATAGGCATATTTGGTTGGAACTGCCAATACCTGTTATTGGATCAGATGATAAATTTTGGCTTTAAAAGGGTGCAAGCTGAACAACTTTTGAAGTATAATCTGGCAATAAACTCTGTAGTGTTTAAAGCACTGTTGTAGCACCACTACAACCATGTCTCTTGCTTTTTTTAAATCAAGGTCAACAAGGTCTTTTTAAAAAAATGTTAAAGCTATATTAGCTTACTGCATTTTCATTCAGGATTTCTCACTTTCCTTTTTTTTTTTCCTTTTTTAAATTTCTTTCTTTGGAAGACTAATTAATGAACTTTTTTTAGCTTTGTAAAAGAATAGCGTAGATCGTTGGGGCTGAACCTTTTCCTTTGGCAGGCTGGATAGGCAGTGCCTGGTCCATCCACAGGCCAGATGTGGCCAGTGGCCCTGATCTGGTGCCCAGGGCAGGCATGACAGTGTCCCATCTATCTGAGAGGGGCAGGGGACATCGCCCAACCCTGTTTCAACCCCACAGGGAGAACTGGGCATGGCCCAGCTCCAACCCAGCAGTGTGGGGAGAATAGGGTGTGGCCTGGTGCTGATTCAGCTGAGCGGGAGGAAGGGTGTGGGGCTCCATCCCAACTTGGTGGTGCAGAGAGAAGGGTGTGCAGACAACCTGGATCTAGCTGTGTTGGCAGAGGGGCTATGGGAATTTGGTGGTGGGAGAGGGTGGCCACTGTTCCCCCACCACCAAATTTCCCAACCTGTGGCAGGCCCCATGTGTCGGATGCAATGGCTCCATAGACTACATTTGCCCTGCAGGCCAGAGGTTGAGCACCCGTGGAACAGATGGTGTAAAAATAGATAGAAACATAAGAATTCCTGTACTGTATCAGATCAATAGCCAATAACTTGTTTCCAACAGAGCCAGTATCACAGGTGCTTCAAACATGTTATAAAACAGTCATAAGTTGCTTAATATGTTGCCTAAGGGAGGAAGTGTTTCTTTCTCTGGCTGAGAAATCAATGGGTGTCTTGCCTCCTGAAGCCTGGGGAACATTGGTCCTAAAAAAATTGTGTTCTGTTAAGGCTGAGACTAAACCATCCATTAACAGGTTTGTAAGTCCTTCTTGATTTTTACTAAGATTGTTGCCCCCATATAAAATTTTACCATCAATGTACGTGACACATTTTTAAATACATTGCTTTCTTTTTCTTAGTGCAGCTTAATATCTTTGATTTTTACTGCCTCTGCATGTAAAATGGAAGTTCTCTTGCAGTTGTTCACTATGACACTCTTTTTTTCTTCTTGACTTTAGTATTTAACTTAGAACCCATGTAGGTTCAAATTATTCCTTCCAGAACTTTTATTCTAAAATTAACTCCTCATTGTGTTGTGTTGTCCACCTGCTTTTGAAGTAGGGGTGCACTGATAGGGATTTTGGGGGTTGATACTGATAGCTGAAATTTAAGGAGGCATATTGGCTCATACTGATCTGATATTGGACACAGCTGCCTCCAGCTGATAAGTCTGGTGTGGTGGAAGGGGAGGGGGGAGGGAGAGGGCAGATCAACGCTCCCCCCATGGTGAGGGATAGGGGAGGGCCAGAGGCAGGTGCTGCCCAGGCGGGGGGGGCGCGGGGTG